CTCCTTACCTTAAGCCCCTAGACCAAACAAGGCCAATGCCCCAGGCACACACATGCCATCCCCTTCTTGCAGTTGCTTAAATTATTAACAGCACTAAGCACAGGCAGTTCAGAACCAACGGACTGCTTAAAAAGACAGGTTAAAAAGAGGAGTTACAGACACATAATCAAGGCTTCCTTCTAGCCAAAGGCTTATCCACTGAGTCCAGTTGTGGGTACAAATGCTAAACAGTGTCTCCCTTTGCCTCTCCACCCACTGTGGGGTTAAGGATTCAGGAGATGAGGACAGAGACAGGTGTTGCTTTTCTTTGCAGCCTGAACAGAGACTGCCACTGCCTGAGCCCATATTGAAGAAAAAAAGCACTTTGAAAAACATTCTTTGATCAATGAATACAATCCTTAATTAATGTTTTTTCTTCCCATTATCAAGTCCAGTTAAAAAACAATTTCTCAGCAAATTTATGTCTCTTCCAGCCAAAAAACAGTACCGTAGGCTTCTCTACTTCACACATTCACAGAAACTACTTTTATTTTAAAACGAAGCAACAGAGTTACCTGAGCTGCATTTCTCCAGCACAATATTTGTTCCTCACAGCTTGGGGCTACGAGCACACACTGCTGCCCAAGCATCAGACAACTGAAAGTTTCAATTGCACTGATCTGAGCCCCTCTCTGCTGTACAAACAGCAGGAAGGGCACTGTTTGGCCTAATCCAAGAGGAGAAACACCTCACTCACCCACGCATAGGTGAGAGCCCCTTCATTGCCCCTTGTGACTGAACTGTCTCCCATGGCCTGATAGACGTTTTACAGCACTAACACTGAGCAGTGCCAGGCAAGTAAGTATTAATAAAGACAAGTGCTACAAAAAGCCTTTCCAGCTGGAGTAGGAGCTTTGATTTTAATACAGGCTGAGGAGTCTGTTAGGGTTAACTACTAACTAGCCTAGGGTTAATTGGGCCTAACCAATACCCCAACTTGAAGGTAAAGAGAAACATTACTGCAAATAAACTTCCTCCATTTAACTGCCTACCACAAGCTGACCTGAAGTCTATAGTGTGCAGAGATTCACCAAGCTCCTTGGCAAGCCCAACAGTTGGCACAGGCAGCATCATCCTCACACCTGGGGCACAATGACAAGTCAAGGAAACCATTAATAGAGGGATCCACCCACTGTTCTTTAATCCACAGCCAGTCCAGGGACTAAACACACACATCCCCTTGAGAAATAACATTCAGATGCGAGAAGACTGCTTCTGATGGTTTTGACTTTCAACACTGCCTCCACTCACCATGATCTTCACCATGAAGACTTATGGCTGGTTTAGTAGTCCAGAGAAACCTGGTCTTAAAAGCTGATTTCATTCTCATGGCATTTTGCAAGTGTTTTGTCCTTTGGAGGAGGGGCAAAATTAAAAAATGAAACATCAGAATTAAGTTTTCATCAACACTTTTTTTCCCAACATCAACAAGATTCTGCAGAGGCCTTGCCAGCATCCCCCAGTTATAGCTCCTTTTATGCACTTTTGCTCCTAAGTAGTGTAATCACTCCCAGATTGTGTTCCAGATGATAAAAGGGTGAGCCACTGCTGTGAGCAGGACTCCTTTCATCACCTAAACAGTGTGCTTGAAAAATACAAGCAGATGAAGTGTTTTCATCATTTCAATTCTAGAAAACAGCATATCCTAACCTTTTAGATCTAAGTACTTCAGCTTAATATGCACATATCACATATTTAAATTAATCAAATCATGACAACAGACTCAATTTTGAACGTCACATCACACTATCATCCATGGCAAAATAAGAATCTAGGGATGCATAAAACAAGAAGGGCCATTTACTAGTGCAGGTGATGGCAATGCTAAGAACATCATCACCAAAATTAGTGCGCTGCCATACTACAGCAAGTACAAATTGATCCATCATCGTAAGCCCAGCACAGAACAAGGGAGTATATGAATCATCTGAATTTTATGGATGCAGAACAGGACTACAAACTCATTAGGTGACTTGTTCTATCAGAAGCTTCAGACTGTAAATTAGTGTGTATCTCTCCAGCTCACTACCCTAACCATCAAGGGAAAGCAGTCTTCCTACCTGATAAGGTCCACAGTGATATATAAACAGAGAAAGAATCTTATGCTGTACTGCAAACAATTGCTACTCTGAAAATTAAACTCTCAGTTTTCCTAGTGTGACCATTAGATGGCAACAGATCCAGTTTCTCATTAAGTCACTGGAACACATCACTGAGCTGTGCTGAGGGAAGAGCCATTGCCAAGACAAAGCAATAGGAATGAAAGACGAAGCATTTGATTTCATATTCTTGGCTCTTCTGCTGACTCTTTATGCCACTGGAGCAAAATCAAAAGGCACACACTTGCTATGCTGTTCTATCTGGTGTATTTAGTATGGACCAACACTTTCCAGTTCAAGGAGCACAACAAGTTCACACAGTGCCTTTTGTACCAAGTCCATGATCTTTGATGCCACTATGGTAACAAACCGGAAAAGTGCAGTCAGATGAACAACGAGGACCAGAAGAGTCATTCAGAGGATGCTCGATGTGTCTGTCTCCATATCAGTTCAGGGAAGAGCCTCAAAAGGAATTCTGGCAGCTGTGCACATCTGTCTGGACAGAGATGGTATTGCAAAATTCCAAGTTTACCCCTGGAAAAATAAGTGATCTGTATCAGTCCCACAAAATTTGAGAGTGGATAGAAGGATGATTCCTCCCAGAGGTCAAAGGATGCATAATCAAGTATACAAAATAGCTGTAATGGTAATAGTCCAGGGAGGACACAGACTGTGAAAACCCATGGCACAAACAGACAGAAAGAAAATGCCTTTATGATTTTGCAACTGATCAGAGAAGACAAGACTTCCACCCAAAAGCAGGTCATTTTCTTGAGTACTTTTATCAGCAGCAGGAGATAGTGTCACAGTGCAGCTGTCAGCCAATATCCCTGAGAGGTGCAGATCACAAGGCTTGTCTTAAGCTGAAATATGATTTAACAAAACAGAGACAGTAACAGCGATTAAAATTTTAATTTAAAACTTTGCCAACAAAAATTAATTACAAAAGGGGAAATTATCTGTACAAAATAAGAAAGGAGGTACTCATTTAACAAGAGACTGCCATTGTCAATGTACTTGGGAGGGCAAACAGTGCTTCAGGTCAAGAGACAGAGTTTGTGCTATGGAATTCTGAAGTGAATTTTCCATGAACAAAGTAAATTGACCTGAAGCACCTCAGAAGCTAATCAAGGTTTGTAAGTCAATATTCTCATTGCAAACCTTCTCCTCTCAATTTAGGGATGGAGGATGGACTAGAAAGCAAGACCCAGAGCAGTGCAGTGGACCAGGACAATGACTTTTGCTGTGCTTCCTCACTCAAGCCTTCCTTTGAGCCTTCCATACAAAGATACTCTGCAGTGTTAGTGTGCCAGGGTTTTAGCTGAATCACAAACTGTTGTATCTTCACTTAACAGTTGGGTCCTGACTCAAAATGAAGACAAATGCTTTGGAGACAGTGATATTACGATGACTAAAAAGCCCAGCTGCATCATGATTCCTGCAGAAACAAAAGTGCTCAGACTGTTCAAGTTCATATCAAACAACAGCTGCTGTTCAACGACAAATTTGTATTTACAACACTGCACCTCTCTTTTCTACCTACCATTTTATACAAAGAAAGAGACGAGCATCTTTAAAACTCATCACTGAATAGACAAAAATGGCAGGTGACCTCCAAACTCCAAGTTCCTGTAAAACCTAAGCACACAATATGATCATTACCAGTTTTCTATGTTTTTCCATGAGCCAAGTCATCAAAACTGAGTTGCAGTGAAGAAATGGGACATGCCTTTTTTTCCAAGCAACCCAGCTGAGTTTTTCCAGTCCAACTGCTTATTTGCCAATTGGCTTCCCATCACATAGCTTTTACACCCTCAGAACCCAGGTTAAGTGAAGAAACAAAGTAGTAAGAAAAATGTTTCAGCCCAGATTCACTTCACCTACTTAAAGTTACCTGAGATACCTACACTGGGGCAGAACAGCTTTCTGTGCCCTACCTACCCAGACAAATGCTAAAGGGCAATTCAGTCAGACTTGAAACTCATCCTAGTGGAGATGTTGTTCTTCCTCCAACCATAAAACAACAAGTGAGCAACTGCACTCTGACTTAGAAGTCTTGGTTAAGCTTAGAGTAATTGTGTTCCTAGCTGAAGTGTTGGATTTATGTGAACCTAAGCCTTACCTTGCTCACTAGCAGCTCCCACGTAGGGAGGCTGGGGACAGCTAACTTGCAAGAATGCTGTGAGACATGCAGGAGTCCTCCTTACAGCTGGGAAAACTGAGATAAGCAAGAAGTTTGCTCAAGTCCATGCAGTGAGTCAGTAACAAGCTGGCATTACAGCTTCCTGGATCTTAGTCATGTGCTCTGCCCATGGGAACCCAGTGCAAGGAAAACTACAGAATCATTCCCTTTTCCATGTCAATTTTTTTTACCAAAAAAAGTACAGATACTAATAAACAGTGTACACAATTTCTTATTTGACAATGAAAGAGTCCTGCAGTAAAGCAATCTGTTCTGTTGTATTGTGACCCTGCAAAAGATTTTTCTAGCTTTGATTCTTTGATGTCTTAAAGCTTTCAAGAGAAAGTTGCACGATTCAGTTAAACAATGCTGCAGTCAGTACCCCTCACATTAACCATGATGATAAGTTACATTTTCTAGTTTAAGCAGTATTTATGATACTCAATTTGGCAATCAAAATAGAAACCTTGAAGCCAAGAATTCACAGATTTCAGGGGAAAAAGATACAAGCCAGACAACTTCAGTTTTAACAGAACAAGCCTTATAACATGCCATGAAGAGTTCAGAGATTTCAATTCTGTGAGCATCTGTTATTGCCATTTCAAACAAAAGCCCTCTTATCCTTAGTCTTGCCCAGCCCATGATGTAGCAGGTAGGACAAATGCTGCATGGCAAGAAAAAAACCACAGCTTAGTAACAGAAACAAAACATTTGCAATTTGCTTAACAAATGCAGCAGAGAGATATCACTTATATAATGTTTCCAAAGACTCCAGGACTTAAGCATAGCTATGGAAAAAGTCAGCTTCCTAAACGTGGGGGCATGTTTGAGCCATCTGCTTCACACTGGATTCTCACCTTACCATGGTCAACCAAGCTTTTAACATACCAGGCAAGACAGAACACCATTAGCTTGTTCCACCACATCCTGGAACAGGACAGCCAATGGATCCCATTGCAACAGACAGACAGTGTTGTATAAAGAAGGCTTATTTTTAATGGCAGAATCAAATTGGACACTAGTGGCTAACCTGGAGCAAGATCTACATTTTTCCTTCTGGAGTTTTTATTTTCTCTTGAACCAGAAACATTCTTTCTAATCAGTTAATTCCAACAGTACTACAGAGAGCTCAGTCCCTAAGCATGCTCTGCACCACTAAGGGTTGGTTCCACGTCCAGTTAAAACCAAGGCATTGCTGTTTTCCAAGGGCAGGACTTCTTCACTGGTCACCTAGCCGGAAACCTTGGCCCCAGTTGTGTCTTCCACCACCCTGCTGGTCTTCTGCAGCTCTTCTCATGCTGGGGGGTGGGACACCAAACCCCGACACTCCTCCTCTCCTGTTGGGCAGCCAGCGGTAACTAGGACAAGCCAGAAGAGAAGAGTTTGAGAAACAGCTCTACCTTGGGGGTAAGTATCAGAATACTTTTCTATACACTTCCTTTTAGCTGATAAGACTTTGCAATACAATTGACTTTTCACAGTAGAACTGCAGAGAATTCTTTCCAAATCTAAGCCCTCAGCACATGGAGGAATTCTGAGGAACTTTGACCTGTGGGATACGTATGGAATCAAGAGAACTGCACATAATCAACAGGACTGATGGCAGTTTCAGAGCTGTTATCACCCTGAAAGGCATTTTTTAAAATTATCTTGTCTTCTAATCCTTATGGAAAACTAGGTTTACCAGACAGGCTTGCAAACACAGAATTAGAATACAAAACTCCTCTACTCATTAAAACTTGTACAGAAAGTGTAACTGTAATCCAACAGTGTATGCTGCAAAAAGGGTTAACTGAATTGCTAACTAAAGTTTGATAGAGAAGGAATATTTACAGCAACCAAAGCTACAAACTTTGGCTTCTGATTGTAGCATTTCAATGCCAAAACAAAGAACAGGCCACAAGAAAAAGCCCCTCAGAAACCAAGATGTGCAGTCTCAGTCAGGTGACTGGTACAGACTGAAAACCAGAATCATGGTCCTGGAACAAGTCCTGAACAAGTCTACATCTGACTCCTGTGACTGTTAGATACTGCTGAATTGGTAGCTACTGTAATGATACATGGGAGCAGAGAAAGAAATATCATTTACAAGATAAACCTTTTTGTTTTACCATCTGGTAACTGTTAGGGACTGCAGTTCAATTCACTAGCAGAATTATGACATTTAATCTCACTCTTAAGAGTGGATAAAGGACATCAGCCATCCAGAGAGGTAACAAAAAACTCTCACATGGGCCATGTACAAGGAACTCAACATTTCTGATGACCCATCAGGTCAGTCAATATGATAGTGTGAAGTAAAGTATTTTACATTTTACAATCCCAGGAAATTTGTGTCTGATGAACCATACAAAAAATTGGACCAAACAAACAGTGAGCTAAAGAATTAAGCCAGCTTACAGGAACTGAGGTGTGGACAGGAAATTCCTTCCTCCCAAATCCAATGGATATTTAAACATTAAGAAGAAATACAGGTGTCCAACCAGATTTCCTATCAGCTCATTGATGACTCTGCAAGGCAAAAGAAAAGGAATTGTTTCACATGCTGTCTTCTTTGAAAATAAACAAGGGACTATCTTCTGTTCACCTGCCATGGGCATTGCCAGGCTGAGAGACACAGAAAAATTCCACTTCCCTCAGCATTTTGCAGCCAATTCTTTAGAGTCATAGAATCAACCAGGTTGGAAGAGACCTCAAAGATCATCGACTCCAACCCTACCGTGGTTACTAGACCATGGCACTAAGTGCCACATCCAGTCTCATCCTGAAAACCTCCAGGGATGGTGAAGCCACCACCTCCCCGGGCAGCCCATTCCAATGCCTGATTACTCTTTCCAAAGAAGGGCCAACCTCCAGTGCCAACACATCAACAGTCTGTTCCACCCTCCCTTCCAAGCCTTCTCTACAGTCCGTACTGAAAACGCAATTAAATACTTGTTTACATCAGGGAATTAGACCGTACAGCTATTAGTGCCTAAAATAATAGTCCGCAGAGCTAGAGGAGTTACTGCTGTTTTCACTGGACAACCTGTCTCCTGCTGCACAACTGTTGTGTTCCAAATTTTGCAAAAACACTGCTGACTGGAGGCCCTTGAGTATCTTCTGTCATGCATAGAAACAGCAGGTATCTAACAGCAAGCAGTTTGCTCAAGTGACAGATGAGTCAGTAGGAGGCACAGCCAGAAAAGGGAATTTGGTTTTGCTGTATTATCTCCTCCTTTTATAAATCAACCACAAACTTGTTAGTTGCATTAACTGTGTTACAGCGGCACCAAGAGGCCCCAGCCAACGCAGGGCACCAGTGAGAGACTGTGCCCAGAGGGGATTTCTACATCAAACAGACTCAAGAGAGACTGATGAATTCAACAAGTGCCAATATGGCACTCCGTGGGCTGATTGCCATTTTCCCTTGTTTCACAAACTGAAAAAAAATCAGGTTGGACCATAATGTCAGGAAAAAAAGTAACAGCACTATCAGACTCAAGCTAAATTTGTTTCTAAACCCAGTAATGATGGTTGCTCATGTGGGACAACATCTTTCTTCTTTCTTTATTGTCTGTTACTTTTTCAGTATGCAAAAGGCCTAATGCACAGTTACTAGAAAATAAACCACATTGCTATTACTTTCCCCTCACCTACATTCTCTAGTTCTCACATGCACATCTCTTTGCTGTCACTCTGAACAACCACCATGTGACACTGAGCATTATCAGTCCGATTATACACTTTTATAAGCCTCTTATTTTATTATGACTTCTAAATTGAGCAGCAAGTTAAACAGTTGTAAAAGCTTTTATAACTTCAAATTGGCCACGCAAGTAAATACATACGATCCACCAATGATGTAGTTGAATCCCAGTATAACCCATGGAAGGTAACAGGCCTGAAAAAGAACACAATGGAGACAGAGAAGTTGTGAGAACAAGTTAAGGACATAAACTTGCTCTCAGCTTCCCACTGTACTAACAAGAATAATCATCACCTCAATGTTTCAGGCATTATACAAATCCTGATCTAGTAACTTGAGCAGATTCAACACAAGAAGGTAAGATACTCCAAACTGAGCAATGACAAAACATATTTGTTTAAACATTACAAGCAGACGTGCCTTTTGCACCCTGTGTTCCACAGTAAGCTCCATCTGGAACACAGTCCCAGCGTTTTTGATTTTGAAAAGGTCTGGAAACAACAATCAAGAGTTTTCACTACAAGATCTGGCAGAAACAGACAAGGTCACACAGGAGAACAATTGAAAATATCATATTTTGTCACTACAGTGTCACTACATTCAGCTTTTATCCAGGTTAATGTTTATAAGGAATTTCTTCCTCTTTTCAGAATGATGAATTTCAGTTGTCAGAACAACTTTTCAGTAAAGCCACACTTAGTGACATCACATGGAAAATCATGAAGAAATTTGTCTTTGCTGCATCTCAAGCAGCATATGTGACCTGTGCATCTCGTACAGCTACGTGAAAGCATGGGACATCTTTAACATGAGAAAATATTTATATTTTGCCCCCACCCCTTATATGTGCATCTTATGGGCAGAAACCTTTCCAATATCCTGACAAACATACCTTAAATCTTGTTCCAAACCAAAACGACACAATCATGTCTCTGTTCAGCTGTGCCCACACATACAGTACTGACATGATGAGTGGAATCATCAGCAACTGCAAGGGCGAACAAAACAAAATAAAGGGAAAAAAAAAGGCCATTACTTTCACAGAAACTCGAGAAACTTAGGCAGCAGGAGCTAAAAGCTCCAAAGTGGCTTATAAGCGTGGTACATCAGTAAAGTCTTTACAGATTGTCCTAGAATCTTTGAAACCATGTGTCATGGATCTTCTCAAAAGCTATTGGGAAAACCAAGCAGAAGAACCTACTTGGTCATTCTCTTTTGCAAGACCATGCCAAAGCAAAGGGCTCCACCTTGCACCAAGTGAAAGAGCAGCTGTGGCAAACTCCTCTGCTCCCAGCTGTGCTGCAGAGCCAGTGATGGACCTGTGCCACAACCATTTCCAGGGCACTAACCCAAGCACACCCATCTGGGGCTAAGCTAATACGCCTAATAATTACTTCATCAAACTGTCACCTGCATCTCCATCCTCCTCAGAGCACCACAGACCGTTACAGAGTCCTGCAGCCAGGCCTGGCAAAGCCACCTTGGTAGAGCTCAGTTAACTGTGACTGTGTGTTAGCTGATTGAACTATTTCTCATGCAAGAAATATAAAGCATTATTTCAGCTATCTGCTGATTTCTGCACCAGCAGCACTTCTGTCAACTGGCTGAATGCTGTGAACCAGCTTGAGTGTTTGGAAGAGGTTAAAACTCATCCCTGCAGGGGCTCAACAGTTTCCACATTAACACTGGCACCAGTCCAGCCTCCCTCAAGCCGAGCAGTGCAGCAGCAGCCTGACTCACCACACCTCCCCCCCAAGGGTCTTTATTAAAACCATTTCTATTTGACTGAAAAAACAAAGTACTAACTAATTTCTGAAAGCATATGACACAGGAATAGAGGCCCAGATATCCTGTTCTATCTTCTCGATTTCAAGCACGGCCACTGAGCACAAGCAAAAACCCTATAGAAAAACACATTTGCACATCAATCTGATTCTCTTTTAAGCAGCAATGGAATGGCTGGACTCAATGATCTTGAGGTCTCTTCCAACCTGGCTGATACTATGATTCTATGAATACTTTGTAAGCAGATTTTTTAAAAAAAACATTTTAAATACCCACTTAAAAAGATACAAACTAACATAATCAGTCTAAAATTGATACAATACATGGGTGACTCCAGCATGCTTTTGTAAAATTGTGCTACCTTCCCCACAGCAAAGAAAAGTTTAAGTGCAAAGTTATGGACAGCCCTTAGCAGAACTCAGCCCTGACTAGAGATGCATGACCACTGTTTTTATCTACCAGGGGAGCCTGAGAAGTGATCTAATAAATGCTAAGATCATTTTGTAGAGAATACAACAGATATTGGTACAGGCTTTGGGTGATGGTGAGTGAAGATGAGGAGAGAATAGCTGAGACAGGCTGCTGAAGACACACAGTAATCTGACACTGTGTTGTGTCCTAGAAACACTTCCCAACTTTCCCCCTTAATATTTGGGGAGATAAGAACTACCTCATCGAAACTGGTTCTCTAGATCACTTTCTTAATCATTTGTGTGAGGATTTTGCACTTCACAGTTCTGATCCCAATCTGAAGCTGCATTTTTCATAAAAAGTTCTACTGGCAAGTAAAAGGCACACTAACTGTGAGAATATTAATGAACCGAACAATCATTTTAAATGAAAAAGAATGCAGATTCACATTCATTAAAGGAAACAGAGCAGAGGTGACATCTTGTGTCCACTGGAGTAAAAGGCTGAACACCTCCTGACTGCACAAAGAGCCAATTTCCACTCCTTGACTCCCTAACTGGGTCACAGGTGTGGCAGTCAGATACAGACTTGTGCCATCAGCTGAGGCTAACCCAAACACTACACACACACAGTCCATTTTGATATAAACTGAACCAGCCTAGCTTAACTATGCTCTGCAGTTATGTCGATAATGCTCTCTATAAAGTCATTAAATTCCATAAAATTATGATCTAAGAAACACTTACCTGCATGTCCATTGCCAAGCCAGTTATCTGTCATTGCACCATTAAGGAAAATGCAGCAGGACCTGACAGACTACAACAATAGAAAGAAGCTGCAGAAACACTGAACACACATGCAAAGGCCTTTAAAATGTTTAAAATTAATACACTATACTGGAGGGGAAAAAAAAAACAAACACCAGCGATCTAAAGACTTACACACTTAGTTTCAATAACTGCTTTTTGGTAGCCCTTCAAGCTCTCACCTCAGGTCATTGCCCCCAGAGCTGATGGATGCACTGGCCTTTCCTCCCTACTCAAACGGGCTAACCACAAACTCAACCAGTCCTTGCATAAAAGCACATTACAAATTTAACAGCTGGATTCGTTCATTAGTTTAACACTGAAATTTTGGTTTTGTAGCTAAAGAAATACCAGATTATGAAAAAAATACCAATATATTGCCAAAGAGTCACAGAAAGCAAGTAATTTCTGACAGTGCATCGGTGCAGGCTTTAATACTCCTCTCCCACCTTGGAGGCCAAAGGATCTGTTGTGGCAACTGCTGAGTAGAAACAATCACTGAAGGGTTTTGCAATGTTCAGAATGCTTTTAGCAGTTCATGAACACATAAGAAATGACACCCAGTGTTTTCCCAGATCACGCATCCAGGTTGCTCCTTATGTCACATAGGGAACATGCAACTGGAAGCTTTCAGATAACCAGTTTGAAAGTCAAGTCAGTTAGATCCATGTAATAGCTCAGGGCCAACAAACTGCAATCATAAAGAAAGCCCTTGTAAGAATGTAACTAAACACACTTTGTTAGTGCTGTGGCTCAACAGGACTAGCAGGAATAGCAATTCCAGCCATATAGTGGAATGTAACTAAATCTGTTGATAAGAGTGACAGCATTTCCACACACTAGCTCTCCTGTCTGTATCTGGCTCACACTGATGTCACTGCTCCCTTTTTTCCACACACACTGTGCCACCACAAACTGCTACAAGAAGTAGCAACAGCACAGAGAGAATTCACAGGACCACAGAATATTCAGAGTTGGAAGGGACACTTGAGGACCATCTAGTCCAACTCTTGGCCCTGCACAGGGCATCCCCAAGAATCACACCATGTGTCTGAGACCCCTTCCCTGGGGAGCTGTTCCAGTGCCCAAACACCCTCTGGGTGAAGCAGCTATTTCTAATATCCAGCCTAAACCTCCCCTGGCACAACTTCAGGCCATTCCCTCAGGTCCTGTCACTGGTCACCAGAGAGAAGAGGTCAGTGCCTGTCCCTCCACTTCCTTCTGTGAGGAAGTTGTATAAAGCAATGAGGTCTCCCCTCAGTCTCCTCTTCTCCAGGTTGAATACACCAAATTCACTCTTGGCCCACACAGCAATCCACAAAAGCAGCTCTGTGAAGAAACACAAGAAACACCACAGGCACTCCCACAGCACGACCTGAGCTTCATGTAAGCAGAACTCTAGTTCCCAGATCATGTACTTGCATGAGTCCATTTGTTAGTGCTCTCTCTGCAAGCCACTCACTACCTTTCCAGGAAGGTTACACACTTCTGAACTCTCCAGTGAACAGTTGCTACATTTTAAAACCACTTGATAAATCCTGGTCTTTGAGCATAGTTCAGGCATAAACATGAGAACCGAAATACTCTCACAGTTTGATGATGAGCACAAGGATACAACAATGCAGATCCAGTTAAAGAGGAGCATGAACATGTAATCCGCTGGCCTTCCATCAAAAGCCCCTGCAAATGAAAAGAATTAACAGAAAAGGTATTGAAATTTGGAGAAGAAATTAAGACAACGCTTTTTTAACTTTGCAGAACCCAAGAAAAGCCCAGCTAATAACAGTTGCTTTACATGCAGTCTGTGGTTTATGATTTTTTAATTTTAAAAAGCCTTATAATAGAACAACCTACAGACTGAAAAGTAAGACATTCAGCCTACTGCATTAAGTGCACAAACAGTGTCTATACTTAAAAAAGAACACACTGACTCTGGAGGTAAGTGGTTTTAACTACATAAGACTTCAAAATGGAGTTGGACAAGTCCTTCATATTCCTCACAGTGCCAATCAGAAGCACAGAATAAGGAAATACATGTGCACAGCACAAGCAGAAACACCAAGTCCAATGACTGAGTCATGTGAAAACCAGCCCTTACTTAGGCAAATTACATCCTCTTTGCATCATCTAGTCAGACTCAAGAGATGCAATTTTTTTACACTCCAGAAAAAATTAGCATACATGACAAGGAGGGTATAAATGTGCAGCACATTCTGTTCCTTCTGGGCTGAACTGCTTGTCTAATTTCTCATTTCAAACATGTGTCAATTTTTTTCAGAGCAGTGGAAACAAAACCAAAAAAAAATTGAGTAACATTCCCCGCAGGTCAAACTAAATGAAATTATCTTTAGATGCCCAGTTGAGTTTGAGGCCTGGCAGAGACAAGGGCTATAAAATAAATCCCCTAACAACTCCTTGCACACATGAAGGTGACACAGATCTCAGCACCTGTGCAAGACTCCCATCAACTTTCCTAGAGCCCCAGGCAGGCAAGGAAAGCCTGGAATATTGCTGAAACAGACCCAAATCACACAGTGGCAAACAGTGCACCACGAACAAGCTGAATTACATGCTCACAGTTGAACACCAAAATGCCTGGAAAGAAGACTGCTGCTTAATGTCAGCACGATTTGGATTCCTACAAATATTTTGCATTTCCCAAAAGAATTTAAAGGAAGAAAATCTATTTTTAAGCATTAGCTTTTTAGAATAACTAAAGTAACTTGGTCTAAGTAAAACAAAATGAATAAACTACCAATTTTAATACTTAATTTCAGCCATGCAAACTACATGAAATGGAAAAAAACACTTTGAAAAATATATTGGGAAGTTTTAAAGTTGAAGAACTAAATAAGCTGAAGTTTTCTCCTTACTATTACCAACAAATAGAGAAGAAGCTGACTAAGGCTGTAGAAATGTCAGCTCAGGAATCCTTCCAGAACAGGAAGAAATGAGAACAATTATTATACCTTGAAATTTTTTCACTTCTTGTTATCTAGGAGATTGGTAACAGGAATATTAAACAATTTTAGTTGACTTTCCAATGACTATCTAAGAAAACTGGATTACAGAGTGCCAGAAAGCTCAGCACAGGTGTGGGGTGAGCTCTATTTCACTGGGTCCTTCTGTAAGGCCCAGGGTATAATCCAGTCATCAGGGAAGAGCTGTAGACTCAACCTCATAACTCCGTGTTGGGGAGTGAATTCTGCATATTCTGTGTTTGTATTTGTTATGTTCTTTTCTCACTGAAACAAAACAAGAACACATCAGTCTCCCTTTCCTCAGGAAGCTCGAGGTCAGCTTCCTAGGAAAGCACAAAGCAAGGTACAAAACCACATGGCTATTTCTAACAGCTAAATTTGAAGCTGGCATGCAACACCAGTGCTCAAAAAACACATACAACCCTGAAAATAGAAGTTTCACTTCCTCAGTTTCACAGACAAAAGGAGGCATAGACCGGTGGTGATTTCCACCTGTAAACATTATCAGCAACTTAGGTACCTCCCTAAGGTATTCAAGACTTTTTCTGCAGAAAGGAGGGCTAACCTAGAAAACCTATACCCAGAAAAACATCTGTAATATAAAAGAAAAGCATCGATTCAAACAACAACACAGCTAACTTCCCAGTTTCAAAATCAAAATGAGTTACTGCTGAAATAATTTTCACGAGATTTGTGCCACAGCATAGAAAAACTAGAGCATTCTGCAAGTATATGTACAAGAAGTGACTCCTTTTATTTTGCACACAGTAACCAGGAACTCCCACTATACCTGGTTTAGCCCAGCAGAATGTTGTAACTGCCAGCACTCTCACATGGTCATGGTCTACTGCAGAAAGGAGGAGGAAGCATCCCTAGCTATTAAACTACTATTTACTTTCATGAAGGAAACAACCAATACAGTCTGGCACCACTCCTCCCTTTCCCTGCTGGTCTCCTTAAGACTTCAGTGGATTCCACAGTACTCCCTGGATGGAAGGTCTACCAGGGATCTCTACCATGAGACTTCCCAAACATCACCTAGCGATATATTCCCCCTTACACCATCAACTCTAAGACTCCATTAGAACTACACTGAAATTCTCATTCACAAGGGCTTTCAGTAGGAGCTTGGCTTTGCAAACACTGTAACTACTCACTTCAATTGAAACAATTTCTGTCCAGCTTTAATGAACTGTGCAGTGCAAAATGAAATCAGTCTTGAAGCTACCTTGTAACAACAATCCCTTTTTTGATATAAATGATCCATTATGTGATTTCTTTTCTTCCACTCTTAAATTTTCCCCCAACTGAAAATCCTACTACTCCCTTAACTTTTCCACACATATGTTTGGCACAGGGGTGCACTTCATTTGTACAAGGTATCTCTCAGTTCAACACAACCAATAGAACAACACCAGTAACCATCCCGTTTAATAAAAGGAAAAGCTGATGTTATTTTTCTCCCTGTGGATATACTCATTACTGCATGTGCTCTGTCACCCTTCTGTGTTAAAGGACACCCGATGTAAGCAAACAGAGGCAACATCATCTTTTAGTCTGCCTCACTCACTTCCTGAAACCTAACAACTAAAAGCACCAGGCCCTTGTTCCCTACTGAAACAAGTCAACAATCCTAAAGATCTCAAATGGCCAAAGGGAAGGGGCCAGTCCAGGAACAACAGTGTTCAGAGCAGTTTCACACTGACCAACATAAGCTGGCACAGAGATGAGCCACCTCTATCAGCTCCAGGCAGAGTTCACCATGTGCATACAACTTAATGGATCACATACCTGTTTCTAATCGTGAGGAGTATTGATACAAGAAATACAAATTCACCAAGTAGAGAAATCCTGTTCCAGGTCCCACTGGGAAGAAGAAAGTGGCTGTTATCGGCCGCCAGATCTGTCCAGATCAAAAGAGAAAGACAAATTTATACACTGCAGAATGAACTCATTCATTATCAATCACTTGGAAGAGATTAAAAATAGTCCAAGTATCAAGTACTGCTGCTTCAGCAGCTTTTACAGTCGTGGGGCTTTTTTAATCTGATAAGCAAAGCTATTAATATGACATCAGAAATCACACACAACTTTCCAGATCACTTTCATCATGTCTTTGCAGTACTGAGTCTTCTTTGCAATGCAAAAGGCACAGACACACTGGCAAGGATGCTATCCTGTTTGAAAAGCATCCATACAACTCCCTGTTGAACAGAGGCCAAGGAATTTACACAACAGCCTTTAGTGTACCATTCCAGACAGCACGTGCTGCTCTGAGCATTTGGGACCTGCTTTAGAGTCTCCCAACTATGACTATTAGGCATAGCCAACTGCATGGCAGCACGTAGCAAGGACAGAGAAAGGCCATTTGTGAACGAGGCCTTTAAGCAGCAACACTTCCAATGGAGCACTGGGATCCCGAACATCACAGTTCCAGGAGGAATAACAAAATTAGAGGGAAAAACTGCCATTTAAGCTACTAAATTCTGGAGACAATACACAAAACAAACTATAGATAGAGCCACCTTTTTAACTTTCTTTTTTGCTTTTCAATGAAGATATAATAAG